ATTTAATAAAAAAAAAAAACATGTTTAAAAGACTCCTCATAATTCTCAAATGAGGAGCTACGCTGGTTTGAATCCGGCTTGAACGGATCAACATTTTTTTTTCACGGATTCATGGATCAAATCTAGAACTTCTCACTCTGACTTCAATAGGTTGTAACTTGTAGGATAACCTATCCTTCCTACCCTAGCAGTGCCGGCCTTAGACATTCGGCTCCTCCGGGCAATGACATCTTCTCCCCTTACAAAATTGAGTTTATTTGTTAAGCTGTTTTATATTATTTAATATTTGAATTTTAATGCATTCAACGATTTCCTATTAAAGTTGCTTAATTCTTAACTTTCCAAAATTAATAATTTAATGCGTTGTGTAACTTTTTTTTTTCTAAGTGGCGAGCGCCCCCGATATCGATCTTGGGCCAACGGTGTTTTCCTATTATAAACCTACAGAAATGGAACGTTAATCAAATTAATTTCTCCCAACCAGTAATGGAATTTTTTTTTTACATTATTACTTTATATACATTATATATATATTTTTATGTAACGGTAATAATCCAGGAAGAAGAAGAGAAAACTACATGATATGACATTTAAGTGCAAAATATGTGGAAAAGAATTGTTGACGTTTTGTCTCCTACACAGGCGGATCTACGGGGAGGGAGAGGGCTTTCGGGCTGAAGCCCCCACAAAATGGTAAAATATAATCATGTTTTACAGAAAAAAATATTAAAAACTATCTCTTAAAGTATTCTTGTTCGTTTAATTACATTTAATAGGACTTCAAGAACCACTTAAACACCATTTCATGTAGGTAGTTAATTTCTTTCTTTTTTTTCAAATTAATTATCCTTATATGTATATGAAAAAAAATTTGTGCTGAAGACCCCCCCTCCCAAAATTCAATCCTGGATCCGCTAGTGGTCTCCTATAAAAACCTTTGCTGGCCAATGTTATGTATTTTGATACATATTTTGTTTATTTTATTTCATATCTCAAATTAAACCTATTTTACTTCATAACCCAACAACTTACAAAACAATTTTAAAATATATGAATTAACCTAATAAGAAAAGCTCTGATCTAATTTATCTAAAAAACAAAACTAGAAGATATGAGAATGTGTCACTGATGAGCGGCAACACTGTTCCACCTACCGCCATTATGTTAACAGTTGAGTTTGAAACTATCGAGGTTGAAAACAATGTTTTTTTTCATCACGTAAATAACTGTAATGTTTAATTTTTAAACCTAAGCCGTTGAATGTATTAGTGATTCAAGACAAATATTGAAGCTTTAAAACATTCAACATTTTGGGGGAGTTCTACAAAGGAAGGTATTTCTTGACAATGAATGATAGCTTATTTTATCTTTTTAAAATAATCAGTTTGTAGTATAACTAATTACTTAAAAACATTCATTCATTTTTTTGGTAGTGAGTTTCTATCCGTGAATTTGCCTTTGATAACGCTATGAATATCATTTCAGAGTTTGTGTGGTTTATTTTTCTTCCTGTAATAAACTACACACAGGTCATTGAGTTATGAATTGAATACTCACCATACAATTGTAATTATCAGGAGGTACAAGTGAACAATAAAAAAGAGATAAGACAGTTCTGTTAGTTAATGAGTTGGTGGTTAATTCAGGATTTCCAGTTCTCTCTACCGCCATCAACAGAAAACCAACATAACCTTTTTAAGAACCGCACGAAATAAAGCACTGATCAGCAGGTTTAATAAATGAGGAAACCATTTTCCATTTATGAAAAATTGTTTTATTATTTGTTTTTTAAAGTATTCGTGGCTTCCAAGAAAGATTACGGCACATTAAGAGATTCAGGCTACTATTGTGAAAAAAATTTGCATGAAAGCACCTACTTCCTCCTCACTTGGACATGCCATGTAAGCGATTTTTGTCTCTTACATGGATTCTAGTCCTCCAGATTGAGAATTTTTAGTCGGATTAATTTTTTATCAAGTCCAGCATTGTAATGTAATTAGTTATAAGAGACTTGAAAAAAAAATATGACCTGTAACCTAGAATTCACAACGATGAGTTAAGGTGCGTATGTCTACTCTCTGGCAAGAACTAAGAAATAAACAGTGCAATTTCGATGCATAAGATTGCTTATCATTTTAATTGGATTAGTCCATAAATAATAAAAAATAAAATTGACTTCAATCTGATTGATGAGATTGAACGACAAAGATATTATCCAGAAGAAGAGCTGCTCAAAAGTAGGACTTGGTATAAAAGAAAAATATTTGGGAGAAGTTAAGAAAATTTGGAAGAAACATCATCTGGAACAACGGATCAATGATATCGTTTCTTTCTAAGATATACACAAGAGCACAGACGGATCTACGGGAGAGGCTTTCGGGGTGAAGCCCCTCCCCTCCCTCCCCCAAAGAATGGTAAAATATAACCATGTTTTACAGAAAAAAATATTAAAACTATCTCTTCAAGTGTTCTTGTTCGTGTAATTACATTTAATAAGACTTCAAGAACTACTTAAACACCATTTCATATAGGTAGTTAATTTCTTTCTTTTATATGTATATGAAAAAAAATCTTTTTGGCTGAAGCCCCCAAAATTAAATCCTGAATCCGCAAGTGTACAAGAGTCACAATCGTTCACTCAAAATTCTATGAAGTTTGTTTACTGTCGTCAGTCACGAACGACATGTTCACCCGGAAGTCTTTTAGTACACATCTATCTATCGATTTAAATCTACTTTTTATTAAATAAGTTCCTGCATCTCAATATTTTCCTTCCCCATGCATCATTAAATTAAGTTCTAAAAAAATTTAAAAAAATATTCAAAGAGAAAACATGAGAACGAAATTCAGCAGCTCTGAATAATTTTGAAATTCCATTTAATTTTCTCTGGCAAGTATTAATGAGATATAATTTCATATATTTTCTAAACAAAATTGAGGAAAATACGACCTCTATGACGGAACTCATGCTTTTTTAAATAAATACTTGGATTCAGAATTTCACGGGGGATTAGCGAATCGTATTTTCCACTTTTATTTTTCTTTCTAAAATAAATAAAGTCGATACAAACATTTTGCTAGGCTTCAATACTGGAACGGTGGTAGGTCTGTAGATCGATGTGGGACAAATTGGATCTTGAAGATTTTGATGCTTACAGCAAGACCCGGATAGTTCCTCCATAACTATCGGATCCTGCGTTTTTAAGTCCAAAACATACTATTTTCGAGATAACGCAAGGTATAGGGTTCGCATCCCCACAATTACATTAATTGTAGTACTGTCATTGAATACATGTCTCATTTCGCCGACTTGAGGTCTCTATGATCGAGAGAGGAGGAGTTTATATTATTCATCGATGGTGCTTTTGATCGGCAAGCCATATCATCGTTAATTTTTCACCAAATCTCAAGATTAATCCACCAATTTCGAAGGCTTCCTTCTCCTTCAGGCGGGCAAAATGGTCCAATCACCCCGAAAATTCAGGCAAACAAGTTATGAAAGAAAACAAACTTTATCGGCGTATAGATAAAAAATTACACACTTTTCACTACTTAATTCCCTACCAAAGGAAAAAAAAATCATCGAAATTGGACAATTTTTAGCAAAGGTACAGCTTACTGAAATTCGTAAACATGTTGGTTCGAAACAAAAATGAAGATTTAAATTAATTTTTGTTTTCATTGTCGATTATATTTATCGGTAAAGTAACATCTGATTTCTTTATCTTTTGATACGTTGCATTATTTTTACTTTCCTACCTATACTAGGTAAGGAAAATATTGCAATCGGGTCAAATTTCCAACATGCGGTTTTCGACGGATCTATACGTTTCAGAGCCTCCTGAATCCGAAAAACACATTTTTAGCCATTGGTCTGTCTGTCTGTCTGTCTGTCTGTCTGTCTGTGCCAAGATTTTCTCGGGAATTACTGAACCGATTTTGTTGCTTCTTTTTTTATTTTGTAGAGTTTTGACTACTGATGGCTGTGACAGATATTCGGTGCTCCGTGCGCAATAGCTTACGCGCAATAAATAAAAAACATGTTTTTCTATAGACTGTAGCGCAAAAACGGCTCTAACGATTTTGATGAAACTTTCCTATAATGTTCTAATCATTATTCTTTTCGTATATAGACTAAATTCCCCAAAAAATTCAGGAAAAAAAGTTATAAAGAAAAGAAAAATGTTTTAGGGTCTCACTCCCTAAGTATATATTATACGGTAAAATTTATAATAAAACTTTTGAAAGGTAATTAAATTACCAAAAAAATCATCGGAATCGAACTAATCGAAATTAGCGATGATACAGCTAATTCTATTTTTTACGTATTTTTTTAAACTTAATACTTTCCTACCTATACTAGGTAAGGAAAGTATTCCAACCGAAAAACACACCTGTCTTTTGGAAGCTAATGAAATTCCCTACAAAGCCATATAAAAATCGTTCATTTTGGACAACTATTAACGAAGTTACAGCTATTCAATTTCCAAAGTAAGATTACGGTTTCATATCCTGGTGTCAGAAAGGGGTGAATGAGAGAATAAAGATGACTAAGTGAAAGTAAGAAAATCTGTTGCCCGTATCACACAATCTTCACTATTTCCTATACTTTCAACATAAATTATTGTTTGTCAATAATAAGCTATACCAAAAAGTTTGTGATCGGCAATATTAGGAAGTATTGAAATTTTTACACTGATCTATCTTAAGCCGGTTTACATTGCTTTGGTTTATCAAATAAATCGTACTCAAATCTTATGTTTGATCAATTTTCAGGAAAATGTATCTGGTTCAATTCTTTTTTGTTTCTTCATGAACATATGTAAAGATATAAAAACTTTTTGAAATAGGTAGGAAAGTCGTATGAGTGGACACACCAGATTTTTTTTCTTATTAATTTGGCATTTGATGACAATATGCTGTGCGAATTTTTCGTACGGGCCAACTAGTTAATTAATAATAACATTATAAATGTATTTATACATATTTGTGTGTGCATGTTTATTTAGCATATATCCTTCGAGTTAGTTATAACAATTAATAAGACTTATCCGTATTGAACACAGGTACAAGATCATTAAAATCAATACAACTTCTCTATTATTTTCTTTTCTTTCTCTTTTCCTTTAATTTTTTCACAAATTTCACGTTACATATGATTAATTTAAATTTTATTTAAAACCAATTTACATTATAAAAGTGTTGTATAAATTAAACATCGTGTAGAGATATCACTATGAATAATGGAGGCTGGTAAAATGCTGGCTATTTTTGAACAGAGGACCCCAAGAGCCGTAGTTTGCAGACTTCGCACCGTTCAGCGTAACCTTAGCGGCTTCCTTTTTCATTTCGAGATTTTCCATCTTCCTGTGAACAAATTAATTATTTGTCAGAAAAAAAATTAATAAATAAAAAATTATAATTTCGTGTACATACATGCCGTTCGTTGATAATAGTAATTATAGAACTGATCAAAACTATATTTTGCTGCTTTATTTACATATATGGATTTGTTGAGGGTCTATGAAGGAGTTGTACCATCAACATTTTTTAAGAGGGCTCGTTTTTACAGGGTTTAAAATCAACTTACTAGTTTTTTCTTTATTTTTTTTTTACGTCTGTTGACTTCGACTTTTTAAGTCATAAGTATTCTTCAGCAGCTTAGGACTGCTACAGGCAATAGTAGTGATCGATTGGTTCTCTCTTCTTCGAGATATTCAGGGAGCTCGTGGTTTAATAACGTACTAGAAGTATCACTTTATCTAAAACGTCTCCAACGGTTTTGATTATACTTCCTATCAGTTAAATGGCCTTTTGTATCAGCAATGTTTATTCGTTATTGAATGATCGCTAAATCAGCAATGCAGAAAAAAAACAGAAAGTTAATAAGGTAAAATTATTGATGATAGCCGATATAGCCGATATATAGCCGACTAAATGAGGAAAATTCGTGTAGATAAGAAATGTTTGATATGTAAGTATTGGTTTAGGTTTTGAGAAACAAGGACTGTAGATAGCTTTTTAACTTTCACTTATATTAAATATATACTAAAGGAAAGTATTGCGTTCGTGAATAATTTCAAAGTCGATTTTCTAACGGAAACGCATTTTTCAAGATTCTCTGGATGGATAATTAATTATCATAAAATGAATTGTGTTTTTTATTTATGTACGTGAATCACCTTGCTCAAAAATGAAAAGTCCTACGTGTGTGAAATGACGTCTTTAAATTAGATATACATTAGTACATTACTGCATCTTATTCGTTAAACTCGAATTATCGTAAGTACGAGTTTCTATAATAGATTTTTAAAAAATTTAACTTTTTTTTCTTTTAACGGAACTAACGATTTTGGTTAAAATCATCATATCAATGAAACAGTAACCATTAACTTGTCTTTAATATTAGTTAGGATTTATTGTTATTAATGTAGTCTGACAGAGCTTAAATGCCGAGTTTTCAAAATGGTTTTCACTGAAGTATCTATAATTTTGTTTATTTGAAATGTTTAACCATTTCTGATTTTTCGTAAAAAAGGACGTATAAATATAAGCTATGAAATAATTTAGATAAGTTAAAAAGGTAAAATTATTGGTGATAAGCCGACTAAATGAGGAAAATTCGTGTAGATAAGATATGTTTGTTAGGTAATTATTGGTTTAGGTTTTGAGAAACAACGACTGGAGATAGCTTTTTAACTTTCACATGTATTAAATATATAATAAAGGAAAGTACTGCGTGAAAAATTTCAAAGTCCATTTTCTAACGGAAATACATTTTTCAATATTCTCTGGATCCAAATAACAAATTATCATAAAATGAATTGTGTGTTTTTATATGTGTATGTTAATCGCCTAGCTCAAAAATTAAAAGTCCTACGTAAGTGAAATGAAGTATTTAAATTAGATATACATTGGTATATTACTGCATGTTATTCGTTAAACTCGAATTATCGAAAGTACGAGTTTCTATATAGGTTTTTATAAAATGGAACTTTTTTTTTTTAACGGACCTAATGATTTTGGTTAAAATCATCATATAAATGCAATTTTAGATATTTGAGGGAGGCACATTTTAAATTGATAATTTTTGAAGAGAAACATATTTTTGTAGGGTTTTAATTTGAAAGAACTCCCAATCCTGAGAACACGGAAAAATAAATAACACAATTACTAATCCGAGCCGAACCAAAGAATTGAAAAGATAAGAAGTGCTTAAGTTGAGTGCAGTAGATAAAAGACGACTGAAATACATTTCCTACTCTATGCGTTTTAACAGCCTCATACTTTCTTAAACATTAACGTATGAGGTATATAGAAAACGTAATGCTCTCTCAAATTTATTATAATGTATTTCTTCCATAGATGCGTAGATTATGAGTTTTGAGGAGAGGGTGGGGGGAGGAGAGGGAGACATTTCTTGTGAAATAAGCCAACTTGCTCTAACTACTGACCCGTTGGTCCTACATCAAAATGTTATATAAAATTTATAACATATTTTATCTTCTTTAACTTTATATTGAACAATAATTTAGATTCAGCATCCCGAAAAACATAATAATCCGAAGATAAACCAACAATTTGATTTTTTTCCACACCCAACTACAATTTTATGAGTTTGATATCGTCAGTTTTTGAAACGTAACCGAACACATCGTCAGCCAAGATGATCTGTTAGGGATACATTCTTTACATAATATCAAAAGTTCAGCCGTCAGTTCTTCCGTTAAATTAAACGCCAAATTTTGCTACTTTACTTTCAATTTTCAAGTTTTAAACCGACTAAGTTTTGTGTTCGGATAAGGTTTGTTCGCAATTTAAAATGGTTAATACTTATAAGTTCTTCAGCTAAATGAAATAGTCGGTAACTGCTCTATTATTATTAAGCTGGAGGTTGCATGACCATATTTTTGAGATGTATCAATTTGAAAGGACTTCAAAAAACAGGAAATAAGAGAAAACCACAGAACAGACAAAATTAAATGTCACTATATAAGAACTAGAATTTTTATGAATCTACTGTCGGTTGCATTTTTTTAAATGGAGAATAGTAATAAATTTTTTTGAGAGAGAAACATGCGGCATTGAACTTTAGGGGATAGTATGCTACATATCTAACATATATTGTTATTCTTATTTCGACAAATTTCTTCTTTTTTCTCCTTTAGTAGATTATTTCATAGCTTATATTTATACGTCCTTTTTAAGAACAATCAGAAATAGTTAAACATTTCAAATAAACAAAATCATAGATATTTTAGTGAAAATCATTTTGAAAACTCGGCATTTAAACTCTGTCAGACTACATTAATAACAATAAATGCTAACTAATATTAAAGACAAGTTAACGGTTACTGTTTTATTGATATGATGATTTTAACCAAAATCATTAGTTCCGTTAAAAGAAAAAAAAATTCATTTTTTAAAACTCTATTATAGAAAGTCGTACTTACGATAATTCGAGTTTAACGAATAAGATGCAGTAATATACCAATGTATATCTAATTTAAATACGTCATTTCAGTTACGTATGACTTTTCGTTTTTTATCTACGCGATCACATACACATATAAAAACACACAAATCATTTTATTAGAATTAGTGATTTGGATCCAGAGAATCTTGAAAAATGTATTTACGTTAGAAAATCGACTTTGAAAATTTTCACGAACGCAATACTTTACTTAATATTTAATATGTGTGAAAGTTAAAAAGCTATCTACAGTCCTTGTTTCTCAAAACCTAAACCAATACTTACATAACAAACATTTCTTATCTACACGAATTTTCCTCATTTAGTCTGCTTATCAAAAATAATTTTACCTTACTGACTTTTTATTTTTTTCCACACTGCTGATTTAGCGATCACTCAATAACGAATAAACGTTGCTAATATAAAAGACTATTTAACTGTACCATGATATAGGAATTATAATCAAAACCGTTGGAGCAGTTTTATATAAAGTGATACTTCTAGTAAGTTATTAAACCACGAGCTCCCTGAATATCTCGAAGAAGAGAGAACCAACCACTAATATCGCCTTTAACAGCCCCAAACAGCTGCAGACTACTCATGACTTAAAAAGTCGAAGTCAACAGGCGTAAAAAAAAAAAACTTCTAGTAAGTTGATTTTAGCATAAAAGTTGCTGTTCATTTTTAAGCAATAGTGTTCACGCACACAGACAAAAAGCAACAAACGCACTTACAAACAGTGGCCATTTCGCAAGACTTTGTTATTTAGAATCTGGTGATCTAATTTTACCATGTATGTCATATACATATAAGTAAAAGTAAAAAGGATTCTCGGTTTTTATGCCTCTTGATTTTCGGCTACCGAAATGAGTCTTCTAGCAGCCCAGTAGTCGTAGACACCCATTTTCCTCAAGTAAACAACGGCCCAATGTTTATCAAAAGCAGCACTTTTCTGCTCCTCAAACAGTTTATTTTGTAACCTTTTTCTCTCTTTTGAAGGAGTGATTGTGATCGCGTCCGGTTATTGTAAACCATGTGCTCTCTGGATATAAAAGAGAATTTTATGCTTGAACAGGACTATACGAAACACAGCTGTCGCCAGTAACAGCCGAAAAGGATTCTATAAAGAGGTCCATTTAAAGAGAATCGTAATATAAATCGAAAGGATGAAATTTTATGTTCAAATATTCTTAATGATACAGAATTGAAGGAATAGTTGGTTGGGAGATGCGGTCGATAGTCGCACACTATTTTGGTGTAATTTTTATTTATATCCTACGTTTCGACTTACGTTGGAAGTCTCCATCAGAGCCTAACGATTTCAGGAGACTCAAGGATACGAAGAATACCATTAACACAGATAACGTATGCGGACTCAGGTCATTGATTTCACCAATCAGTTCATTAATTTTTGTTGTCTCTTCCCGATCAGACGGCCGCGTAGTCACGTAGCTAATATGATAGAAAAAAAAGAAGGTGATAAAAGACTGACTGATTTGAAAACTAGGAAGCACCTAATGTTATCAGCTGTTCGATGATAAGTATAGATTTTAAAATTGTCTCTGAGCTGATCAGCTGTAATTTATTATTAGAGACGCTTATGTCCAAAGTGTACACTAATCGATTTGTTTTTTAGGTGAAAATTGGTTTATTCTCAAAACAGTCCATTTTTTTTTTCAAGGAGTGTGTGATACTTTACATTAAATTTCTGTAATAAAATTATAGTGCATTTATAAAGAAAAAAAAATCGATTAAACGCTTTTTGAACCTTTTTATTCTAATGAAAATTAAAAAGGAATTTATCTTTTATTACAGTTTTTTATTTATTTTGTTACAATTAAATTAACTAATAATTTAATTTAAGTTTTATTGTTTTTAAACTACCATTTAAATATCCAATCATTTTTGGAAATATGTGTTACGAATAAAGGGTTTCTTAATTTATTTGTTAAAAAGTATTGGTTTTAATATTACAATCAGAATAGAAAATATAATTTTTTGCATTTCCTGAAAATTTGTCTTTGATGATTAGGTATCGCTTTGGAAATGAACTATTCATTTTCAAAGAGGCTGTAAAATACCAGTCATTAACATAAAAATGAACTGAAGTATCTATTGTGTAAAAAGATAAGTAGACTATAAGATCAACTGTTCATAACTGGTTGAATTAAAAAATGTTTCGTTTTCGTTAAAATCCCCTTACCGGAAGTACCACTTTATGTAATAGAATGTAAACTTTTTTTTTTTAATTTCTTTCTAAAATATGTTAACAATTTTGATTATCCTTGCTGTATCAATTTGAAATTAAATGGTATTTAATTTCAGCGTGGTTTTATCGTTATTAAAATATCCTTGATTAATTAACAGTCTCTTATTGTTAGGGGTAATAAAAAATGGATAAATATAAACTGCGAAAAGTTTTATCATTACTTTTAAATTTAGTGTACAAGTTTAGGTAATGGAGTTGGGAAAAATTAGGATTACATGATATACTGAATCAAATTCATTTGTGAAATTATTTTATGAGATGATATTTCGAAATACATTATTTAAAATGTCATAAAAGTGTTGACTTTTATCAGTGAGGATGACATGAAAAAAGAGGTGGAAAATTATGTCTTGCCTCTCTGATAAAAATACTAGTTTCGGATCTTTTGGTTTATCGCATGGGCGGATCTACAGTGAAGAAGGGAGGGCTTTCAGGCTTCCTCCCCTCTCCCCAAATGGTAAAATATAACCATGTTTTATGAAAAAAAAATTATCTCTAAAAGTATTATTGTTCGTCTAATTACAGTTAAGCGTACATTAGGCCGTCATGGGCGCGGTGCATTTATGCAACAATAAAAAAAATCAGAAAAAAAAATTACAGTGAATAAGAATTAAAAAATCACTTAAGACCTTTTTATATAGATATATATGTATGATAAAGGAATCCTAATATAATAAAAAATTAAATCCTGGATCCGTTAGTGGTTTATCGTGATGTTCTAATTATTTTTATAATTATTAAAGTAATAATTAAATGTTCATACCTTTTCTCTGAAGGGCAAGAGATAGATCGTGCAATAGTTTTGTCCACAACCATGTTAGAAAAAAGTTATTAACTTCAGTAATAATTTCAGAGTCTATGGAGGACTAAGCTGAAAAATAAAAAATAAAAACAATTTAGTATCATAATATAATATGTAATGATATAATTATGTAATTTTTAGGCTAGGGTTATGGCTTAAAAAATAAATGATAAATAAGTATAATTATAAATAAAAAAATAATACAATGCAAATATATATAGTGCGTAAGAGTCGATGGAATATTGCTTTGTTGCAAGGTAATAGAAAAGTAAAAAAATATAAATAATTTTAAAATATCTAGAAAACCAAAAGTTTTGAAAATCAAACATATCCAATCCTTCCAGTCCAAAGTCTATTTTAATGAAAACTCAATTAAAAAATTGGTGAGTTTGCATTCTATCGAATCTCTGGTTTTGTGCTCAAAACCCTGCTTCTTATTTTATTGTTAGAAATTGTCATATTATAATTATATTATCGAATTTATGAAGCGTTGAGGAACGAAATGCAGTTCAAATATCGCAAAATTTTACCATTTATACTTGATATAAAGACATTTTATATTTGTATACATTTCCAATGCATTATCAATAAACACCGAGAATCGATATTGTTAATCTTTGAAAATAGTAGATAAGTAAATACCGAACAAAAATATTGAACTCTGGATCAAGCCAGAAGTGTATATTTGTATATTTCGTATGCTTATATATTATAATTTGTTTAAATAAAATTCTGGAGGATAAGAAAAAAAAAATATTGACTTCAGTGAGCCCCATTACCTAATCCCTTTATACAAACCATACAATGGATATTAACAAAAACAATAATAAATGTATGATGACCTCCTTAAAATGCAATTTTGCAGTAAAAGGAGAATTTTCAAAACGCTCTAAAAACACATCAGAGAATAAATAAGGGACTATAAAAAAAAAGAACATTGAGTATCGATAGTTATGAAATACGGCTTTAAGTGGACAAAATAAAAAATATATAAAATCAGAATTGAATTATTAACGATTTTCATTAATTCGTGTTTTGAAGTTGCTTTGTTTATGGAGATTTTTGATTTTATTTAGATCGTTTATTAAATTTTTTTTTGAGGAAGTATAGATTTTCGATTGTTTTTAAGGAAGATAGATAGATTTATCTGTATCAAGATTACCGGGAAAAAATATCGAATTAGTTTTTGAATATCAATATTCTTCCAACATCACTGCGGCGGCATTCGCCACGAGACCTTCAATTTCTACAGTGGCTAGATCTTCTATTCAACCTTTTTTTCTCCCTTTTTTTGTTCTCTCTTCCTCGCCTTTTAGGTTGTAGGGTGGTTTTCCTGGCCTGAGGGTAAGAGCGAGGAATCCATAGCTTCGGTTATCAGATTGCCGGACAACACGCGTTGCTTAACAACATGCCTTAGCGCCCTCGATCACCCTGCCCCTGCTTCTCTACTCAACCTATAAATTTGTGGCTACAGCGCCTCCATTGAGTCTCCTTGCTTTGAATACGAGTGACAAGTTTGAGAAGGAAGCGCTGAGATCTCCAGGAGTCCTGCTTTTCCTCTTCAACTGGAGGAAGGGCAAACCCGGTTCGCTTGCTGGTTGTAAATAATGTATTTAAATAAATATGTCTGTGTTTAAGAATTGTTTCTAAATTTATTTATTTTCTTCAATTATGGTAGAAAAGCTCTCTCAATACAACTACAACCATCAATCTTTTTAATTTTGATAGTGCGCAATATTACTCAATAAAAAGAGAAAGAAAACAAACCATGCACAATGCAAAAGCCAGATAACGTGTTCAAAATTCGGAGAAAAAAAAGATAGAAAGGAAACCTTGAAAGAGGAAACTGGGAAATTCTGCCGCACCCATCGCATTCCTCAGATACCGAACCTGTTGATGTACACGCAGCACTTCTATTATGATGACATTGAAAAATGACATGGTTTATAAGCAATGTGCTGCTTTAGCAAAACCGGGTTTGTTTCCGAAGAACGCATGTTTTGACTTAGGAATAGGACAAGACTGAAATTATTTTAAATGTAATTTAAAGTACAAGCGCGAGAACTGTAAACATAATTAATGAAGAGAAAAATGGTTGGGGTGATCAGTCAGAAATAAAATGGTAAAAATAAATAATAATATTTATTTTAACATTTGCCGACGTTTTGACCCGAAGTTCAGGCTTTCATCAGGGCTGATTGAAGAGATAGCTTGAATAGAGTCGTGACAGCTATTTTTATAACAAACCCGTTATTTTAAAACAAACTGGTTTGTTATTTCAAAATCACTGATTAAGGTTAGCAGATACTTTAAATATAAAGCTCAGACTTTTTAAATGTAAGGCCCATTAACTTCACCACTGACTTTGGTTCTTTATTCAAATATTTAAAGAATTAATAAATAATCTCCCCATTCTTTACAAAATTTCTTGATATGTCCTACAATTTTATTCAGCAATATTGTGATAAATTGAATATTGTATAATCCAACAATGATAATCAGATAAATGTTGTAACTGTTAAAAGCTGTAGCATTAGTATATGTTAAAAAAATAGTAGATACGGCCCTTATGAATATTGCTGCAATATCTTATAGATTATAAAACATAATGTAAAAGAAAATAATATGAGTTTATCGAATTCTTTACCTTCCTAAGGGACGTTGTGCAGGAGTGTGAGCACAGAGAGTTCCAGATAATTACCCGAATTTCCTCTTCTGCTTCCCAAGCTGGTGCAAAGGTGTTTGGATAGCCTGAAAAAAAATTAACATAAACGTGTTACTTTTTTATATCTAGTTATAAAATAATTTATTAGTATAAACAGAACTAATTAGCTATCTTGTTGAGCTTTTGGATTTCCATAAATAATGTGGGAAACCATCTTGCTAGAATATTGCATTTTCTTTTAAGCTTATTGGTATAGTTCTAAGTATATTTGAGCAGTGAAATAAGTATAGTTTTAGAGGCCTATTGTAGCAAAAATTTAAGGGTCTCTTAATTTTGTATACAAAATTTGATGAGAAGGCTGTGAATTATACATAATAGTATATTATTAAGTTTTTTATTACATATAATATAATTTGATATTTTATTTTATTGTTATAAAAATTCCCATATACTCTACAGCTCCCTTTTGATTGAGGCCTGTGGCATTTGCAATCTTGCTTCCTCGACTATTTTTCTCCTTCACCAGGATAGATCATCCCTGGAATTATTAAACCCTCCTGGGGCGCACACATCGGTTGTAAAGAGGGTACCCATAATCAACTAATTAATTAAAGAAAAAAACTTGATGGTTGAGCCCAGGAGTGTCCAACCCCTCCAAGACCAATGGCACATAAAACTTCCACCACTCCTCCCAAGATATTTTATTGCTCTCAGCTTTTTAAAAACAGTGCAAACAAAATCAGAATTTAAATATTTGTAGATTATATACAATTACACATCCTGAGATGTGTTCTATGCTTCCACTTGTTTTATGATTTGAAACTTTTCAATTTGTAAATTCATTACCCCATCGAAATGTTTCCACCTCTAAAATTGAAATCTCCATCAAAATGTGCCCCTCATAAATTTTGATGACACAGCTTGCGCCATGAAACCAACTTCTGGGTACTCCTGACTTCTGGGTAAAATTGAGCCTGACACAACTTCTTTACAATGTAAATAAAACCCATGACAAACCTTCATTTAGTAGTTTTTTTTAGATATACTTTATGGTAAAAAAATTTTGTTTGTTGGTTTTTAAATGGGTAGTCAGTTTTTTTTTATATTTCTCAAAGTATGACTTCAAATAAGAAAGTGTAGATTCAAATAATAATTTCCTCAATGTCATTTTTAGAGAATAATTTGTTGCTCTTACTGAACTTTTATGACCACTTGACCGTTATTTATAAATAACTCCTTATTAGTTAAAGAGTAAAGACCCACAAATGTAAACATTTTTAAGGTGCAAATAAGTTGGCCATATTGCCTAGTATTTATCCCTCTGTAGAATGAATTAGATTGATACGAAAGAAGCATATATATTAATCCTTCTCATCATTTATTAATTTAATATTCTACAAAATTATTAATTTTTTATCAGCATCTGTATTGACACTGAGTTACTAATCTTCTGAATTTTCTTGAAAAATTATGTACTTTTATTTTTTATATTAGTTCCCATAATTTTTATGAAAACTATATTAGAAAATAAAATGAAATAAAACCTTAAAGATTGCAAAAATCTGCTTGTTGTCTGGACGATCCTCATTGACACATAACAGTTCCAAATTGGCAGAAAATTAACGATAACAAGTTTACTGGCAGAAGAACTGAGTATAACTGAAGCTTGTTCAACAACTTCACCTATTTATTTGACCTCTAGTTGCAAACAGGTTTGACAAGTTTGATTCGGAAGAAGTGGGAGACCCTGAATTTTTACTTACCAGAAGAAAAGCAAAATATGTTACACAACTTGATGCACGTGGCAAAAAAAGTTTCATTCCTTCCTAGAAATATTTGTGTTCATCATTGTGCATAATACTCTTATAAGTGTAATTTATATTTAAGAACAATATATGGTTGTTGTAGCAAAAGAGCATAAGCTCTTAATTTATATTGGTTCCTGTTTTATTAGAAGCATTTATTACAGAAATTTTTCATATATATATCCAGTTTAATCATATAATAAGCACAATAATAGAATAAAGTCATTTTCATAGCATTACTTTATATGTTTGATCAAATACAATAAATTATTTTTTGTAATATAAATTAATGTATTAATATTGAAAGTAACATATTTAGTAAATATTCTTCAAGAAAAGTATATTCTTTACAATATATCATCGGTTTATTGCAAAAATTCATTAAGTAAAATTTCTAATCTCTTAATCATCAAATCCATTAAGAATTTTAATGATTTTTCTATTTGTGAAATCAGAAAACTGTACACTTATTGTAGCTGTATTCAATTTATAAAAGAGTTTGAGTCATTTTAGAGCTCTTAGTGTGTGTTTTATCGATAAATTCACAAAAACTTTCTTAAAAACTCAGCTTCATCAAAATTGTATTTAGAGACTTTTTGCAATAAATTGATGATTTGCTATTGGTATTATAAAATTCTAATTTATTATTTTTGTTTAGCCACCCTCCCCCATATAAGATTTAAATTAGGAAAAATAGATATTTTGCCTGATTGAAAATTGGAAATAGAATAGAATTATAAATGATCACATATTTATTATTTTACTTTATTGTTTTTCCCAAGAAAATAATGATTTATCCTTATTTTTGGTTTACTGGATTTTTTGTATTTCTCAAATTGTCACCATGCAATTTCTAGTATCAAATAATTTAGACTGACCAAAACTGATGATTAGACTGAAAAATAACTGCGGAAAAGTTAAAATACAATATCTGTTTAATATATACTTTTTTAAATATCCTAATTACCGATTCTATTCATCTTTGTCAACATAATGTTTTGCAATGCTTGGTTTTGCTTTTATTTTGGGATTTGTGTTTATGTAAGAAACTAATTTCTATACAATTCCAAATCCTGGTGAAGCTACAAATAAGTTTTTTACTTGGTTATTTCCCCTAAATGACCCTTTAGGAACATTTTTCAGAATTAAACATTATTTGAATAAGCTCATCAATATGGACTCTGCGGATCTTCATTCATAATGTTCAAATGAAAAAGTGAACTGTTATCAGAATATTACCAAATGTGTATATATTATTCATTAAAATGTCTATTGAAGAGAAAAAAAAACCATTTTCATGTCAAATCTCACCCTTTTGCATAATTATTAAATTATTGAATGACCACAAAGAGTCATTTATTATATTTCATAATGAGCTGTTTCATATTGATATTGTAATAGAAAAAATAATTAAGGTATTATTGCATTTTTTCTTTTTAATAAATGGTAGGAAAGACAAAAATTTGAATAATTATATTACACAGTTTTTAATGTACAAATATTTTTCTTATATTTGAGAACATATATTTTTAAATTAGAGTTTCTGAATTCCTGTCAACAGAAAAACTAAATAGTTGTTTGAAAACTAGCTTTTCGGAACTAGCAGACCTTGGTTTGGTCAAAAACAAGACTGTTATGAGGTTAATGAACTGTGTATTTGTTTTGAAACTGAAAAGCTGCTTCTCTCTTGACTTTTTCCTTCTAAAAACTACATTATAATAAATTAACTCATTACAGCTTTAATAATTTAAAGTTATAAATTTTTGTCTAAATTACAATTTTCTTAATGAGTATATATTCACACTAATGTTTACCAAATATATTAATAAGCTTTATTGGTAACAATATTTGACAAAAGTCTCTCCCTCATGGGAGAATTACCAACAATACATTTAGAAAAATAATTTATTTGTATTTTTAAGAGGTTGTTGGTAACATAACAAAATTAGCTAATTTTCATATGTTGCACATAAACATTTACAATTTACACTTACAACTTCGTAGCCTTTGATTGGTGTCAAGTGTAGCCTTCTTTTTCTGATCAGTTTGGTGACCTACCTAACTAATTGTTTGATTACCTGGTTGCATCCATTGCATACACAAAACAGAAGAGGTCAATCGCCCGGAGTTTTTATTTTTAACTTCTAATAGAATGTTATCTAAGTTAAATACAAAATAAAGACATACTTTTTTTTTATAAAATATAAACATTATTTTTGTTTATTTTGGTTTTTTGACTGCATTCATTAACATTTTAGTCTAATAAATTTAATTTTAAGACAAATTGAAAACAGTTTTCATGTTCCTCATTTTTAAATAGTTCATGAAATATATATGGTCTTTAACTATAAATATGAGTGATAATTGCTTGTTTTGTTTTACAAATCTGTAATTATTATATATATATATATATATATATATATATATATTCTGTTTTTATTATTTGTTTCCAGGTTGGAATTTTATGACCTTCAAAACAAAAGGTCACTGTTTAAACAAGATTTCAACTCTTCTTCCTGTATATTACACATAAATAAATCTGCACATCAAGATACTTTTTATTTGAACTAAGATATAAATTAATGCTTTTATTTATCTCACTGAAGGAGAAAGTATACTACCCCAATTCCTTTTTCCCGATACGTTAAAAAAGTTAAAATACAGATCTTTTGTGATTTTCTGAATAATTTTTCCAATTTTATACTATATAACTATATTAATTTGAATTTATTTTTGCAATTAAATGTTATTACCTTGCACAAAATGAATTTCTCCTAAAATTAACAAATTTTACCAGATTCCTCTACAAGGGAAGAAGCAAGAGCAAACAAATATACAATTCTTATAGGCCTATATGAGGGAATCGTTGAAAAATCTGTTGATGATTAGCCATCCGCGACAGTATAGCTGCATTAGAAGCAGAAAGGCTGCAGATGCTTGACTTAGAATGCACTGTAAAGTCAATGAGAAGGCAGAGAAGTATGTTATGTTTCTCCTTAACCGAGTATACTTCAGCAGATCCACAAACATGAGGCTCCCAGCAATTTGTATGACCTATAGAGAAGCTAATCCAGGACCATACATTGAAGATAGATGGTAGCTTCTTTGAAGGAGATTGTAGTTTGGAAGGAGGTTGTCCAGAGGACTTTGTCCTTGGTCTTCCTTATGGCCATTGACCTTCAAAGAGCTGTTGAGATTGCTGAAAGAGGAGTGATGCTATGATCTGGCCGTTTTAGCAGTCTTGAACATAGCCAGGTTCACAGGAGAATCACTATTTCATATAGGTAATTAATTTCTTTCTTTTTTTCAAATTAATTATCGTTTTATATATATATATATATATATATATATATATATATTTTATATATATATGAAAAAAAAGTTCTCAAAGCTGAAGCTCCCCCTCCCCTCCCAAAATTAAATCCTGGATCCGCTAGTAGCCAAGAAAATGAAAATGAAAAGTGTGGGAACCTAGTAGCAGGTCGATGCAGAAAGAGAACATTGGCCGTCTAGATTCAGTCCATTCTTTCGAGGGATGAGACTTACAGGGTCCACCCTATTACTTTTAGTATACAAGGAGAAAGGTTGCTTCCAAGTGAGATTGTCACATTAACAAAAGGATTGGAATATAGTTGAAGGGTACGTCCTTGAACAGCGGCTTCCTCAAGAAGCAATAGTACTCCTATATATTGATGATATATTGATATATCATGCCTCACTAAGATCCACTTATTTTTCCTGATCCTTGGAAACTTTCCTTTATAAAAACGACATCAAAACTCAAAAAACCAGCTGAATATCCATTCATATTGACCATCATGGGAAAAAACTTATATTGAAACGCCTTTACCAATTCCAAATTCTTGACCATTAATTTTGATTTCGAACATCTCATTCGACTATCCAGCAGTGTCATCTTGTAGTAGATGTTATTTCCTCCACGTTGGAGCGTGGAATTAACTGCTAGGCAACTTTTCCCGGTGCATAACAAGGTTTATGATTGAGTCTGGAACGCAGGCTTGCTGTAAAAACTCTGTGTTATTCTACTCATTTCCTATTAATCCGTTCCAGCTCACATATAGAACCTTTAAAGTAAATCATAACTCAGCCTATTCTTCTCTTTTTTTCCAGTCTGTCGGTGTTTCTCAAGGAGGTACTTTTGGTCCCATTGTCTACACAGTTTATAGAACTGATATCACAATCATCCTACCACTGCCCTTAGTATTTACATTGATGACACATATTTATTATTTATCCATAATGACCCTATTGTTGCAGTCGCACATTTCAACTTTAAAGAATAATGTCAAATTTTTTTATTTTTTTTTTTATTGAATAATAATACAATCAGCCACTGTTGGAGGGCTATAAGTATTAAGGCTAGAAGTTCTCATTCATACAGTATATACAAGTAATATAGAAGTAACTATAAATATAAGAAGTAAATAAATAATACTTATAAAAAAAAAGTAAATCAATAGGAAAAAAAATAAATAAACAAACAAAATAAAATAACAACTTCTAAACACATTCATACCTATATACAATATATACATTCGCCCAGGAATCTCCGAGCCAGGCTTTTCTCCCCACATGTGGAAAGCAAAGCAGGACTCCAGAGATCCCAGTGCCACTTTTCCAGCCGCATCACTAGTATTAAAAGCCAGTGGAGGCTGAAGGAGGGCACTAGAGCCACAGATGCTCAGGACTTGAGTGGAGAAGCTGGCCATTGCCAGGATTCCAGAAGCATATTTACAATAGATCTCGCGGCCACTGCCGTTTTAACCTTCGAGGGGGATTGTAGGGATGGTGGGAGCTGGATAGGGATTGAGCTAGAGGATCTGGATGATGGATAAGGTTCTGGTGAAAGTTCGATAATCTGGATGAGATGATGTCGAGGACAAATGGGATGTTAAGGTCATGGTGTAGGGTCTTATTTGTGACATAATATGTAGCATTCGCTATTGTTCTAAGTACTTTGGACTGGAAGGATTGGATGCGTTTGATATTCGAATGTTTAGCAGTTCCCCACAGTTCAAGTCCGTAGTTCCAGATAGGTTTCAGTATTGTCTTGTAGATTAAAAGTTTATGTTCAATCGAAAGATGAGATGTCCTGCTTAGTAGTCTATATAGCTGGCCATATCGTTGGTTAAGTTCTTGTCTTTTAAGTCTCGTATATGGGTTCCAAGTTAGTCTTTTGTCTAAAAGGAAGCCAAGGTAACGGACTGTATCTGAGTAGGGAAGTGGTATTGAATTGAAAAGGATTGTGGGACAGGATCTGCGTTGCAGGGTGAAAGTAATATGTTTGCATTTTGCTTCATTGATTTTGATGCGCCAGTTGTTGCACCACTGCTCAATCAAGGAGAGGTGAGATTGTAGGTTTTGAGATGCTATTTGAGGATCTGAGTGAGAGGATAGAGTGGCAGTATCATCAGCAAATGTAGCTAGAAAGGTATCGGGATTTGAAGGGATATCGGCAGTGAAAAGGATGTAGAGAACTGGACCCAAAACACTGCCTTGTGGAATGTCAAAATTAGAGAATGAAAATAAATCCCATCAAATCACATTTACCCTTCGTTGTGAAGCTACTACATCCTGTCCTACAGTATTCTTTAACAATACTACACTTATCTTCGTCAAACAAATACATTACTTAGGATCTGCCTTGATCAGTGCAGGACTTAGACGTTCTGTTTATTTTAACAAATTTAAGTTGTTTTATATAATGTAATATTTAAATTCTATTTCAATCAAGATTTACCTAGTACAGTTGCTTTATTGGTAGAATAAAATTAATTATTTTTATTCGTTTCGTAATTCGTTTTATTTTCTAACAAGTGGCGAGCGTCCCTGAAAGCCAGCCGGCGTTTCCAATGGGTATCTCTCCAGCAATTGCTCCGGTTGTCCCACCTTAAGGCCGGCACTGATCTTAACAAATGTATTTCTTGGAAACCTCATACAAGAATGATACATAAAAAAA